TAGCACTCACTTAGTAAGATTAGATTAGCATCTATCATAACTCAATCCCCTACCACAATATTCAGGTTAAAAAGCAAAATTCAAGCAGATACAACTTATTTTCTCCAATGTAATCAAAATATTTTTATTTTATCCCCTAAAACCTTTTTACAAGGAGCTCTTTGTTGTCTCCCTTCTCAAACACTTGAAAGGAGAAAATGAAAACTATCACCTGGTGTGTCCATTTCTTGTCACCAAATCAGATACTTGTAATGTTGGGGAAGTTAATTTATTTCAAGAATGTCTCAACTCTCTCACATCCTCAAGGGTGGGAAAGCAGTACTTCTCAGAAAAAGTGGGGAGAGAAGAGCTGGGAAACTGTCATGAAGGCCTCACTCTGGCTCCTCCTACTTGAAGATTCATGGAGAGGCTCACTGATGCTGGCCCAGAAGGGCAACTGGGGATCAGCAATTAGTAGGTAGAAATGGGATGTGGTAGCACAAACTCTTAAGCAAGGAATTAGGAGAGTAACATTTCTAAAGGGTAACCATAAATCCTGAGTAACAGAAAAAAAATTAAGGGAATAAGAACATTTTTACTTTTAGAGCCTGAAAACCAGAAATAAAAGGTGATGAAAAATATGGTGAAAGTTTGAATAAAATAAACTTCATTAGAGTAAAAGACACATTGCCAGGAGTGATGAGATGCTGTATTGTGAGTAGGGGGGATATTTTGAGAAAGATTAATGGCAATGTGTCCTCTCCTGTAATGTAGTTTTAAAATTTAGACATCACATTTGACAATTACACCTCCTATAACCCCATATAGGAAGTGAGTGAAGCTGAATGTGTTGAGATTGAATGCTTTGCTAGCAGTATGTAGGGGTTTTCTAGTCTGGATGTTATGGCTGAAGATGGGGGCAGAAAGGGAATGACACTGTCTATTAAAAAGAATAGGCTTCTTCCTGAAGGCCTCTGTAACACCAATACTGACTTGTGGTTTTCTACACTATCCTTTCCCTTTTCGGTGTTTTAAATGAGTGCTTGTACTTTAATATCATTTCCTAATACAAAAGGGAATTTTATTCAACCTAAGTATCCAATAAATTGTTTCAGTACCTAGTGTTTACATCAAAATACTGTTTCCAGGCACCTGTAGCTGCCATAGGTTTGACCTCTCAGGTTTACCTAACACAAATTTTTTTCTGTGGAATAAGAGCAAAGGAGGGAATCTTAACATTTTTTTAATCCTTAAGATGCTGGCAATCATCAGAATTTTATCCTTAATTTGCAGACTCTGAACATATTCATTTTGTTGTGCCAGCAGGCCCAGCTGTTCTCAAACTTAGTTTTTATAAACTATGTGAAATTTTGCTGTTTTAAAATATTACTTGTCAAAAACTATCAAATTAATGAGGAATGAAAAATACTTAGTGTGGTTATAACACCTAATCTACTCTCAACAATTAAAGAATACACTGCATTATTAACTATAAATCTTATGGGCTGGCCAAATATCTCAGTGGATTAAAGTGCCTACTTAGGCAGATGCAGGGGCTGGGAGTTTGATCCTTGGGCCTGCTGTGCCAACCCTGCCCCTGAGGAGCACTGAGATGGAGATTGAGACTGGGTGTGGTGGTGTGAGCCTGTAATCTCAGCTCTTGGGAGGCTGTAAACAGGAGGATCACTACGAGTCTGAGCTATACAGCGAGAGCCTATGGACCCTGTCCTAAAATACAAAAAAGTAAATAAAAATACACAAAAAATAGCCATAGATCTCTTGAACCTATGATTTTTTAAGAGAATAAAAAATAGTAAAAAATTAGAAATACAGAATTTCACTAAGCGAAACAATTCAACAATGGTTGTTATACTACATATTGTCTTCAAATTAGTTGTTCAGATTACCAGATATAAACATGAAAAATGTTTTAAAAACATTAAAAAGAAAAATTTCTACTGGCCTTTTAGTAGACCAGTAGAAATCAGCATTTTGCATCCCTTGACTAACATTCTCTCCAACTCTACCCCTCTTGCCATACCTCTGGTGTAACCACCATGCTAGGGGCTAGATTTCACTTCTCAGATTCCAAATATAAGTTGGATCACGTTCTACTTGTATTTCTATGCTTGGATTGCTTTATGTACAGTAATGTTGAGCAGGTTCATCTGTTTTGTGACAGGAGTTTTTAAAAGTCTGATTCATTTTTTCTTGTATAGGTATACATTTTCTATAACTGATGGTATATGTGCCACAGTGGGCTATTATTGAAAGCTATAAAAGGTTCTCAGTCATTGCTATAGGCTGTCTCATCAATGGCTTAAAGTTTATTTCCTGTAAGTTAGACATAAGCAGCACACTCTAGGCTAACTAGGACTGGCCTAAAAGGAAATAGTGAAGATAGAGAAGAGTTTGGGATAGTAAATTCTTGTATAGGACTAAAAAGATGTTTAAAATTGGACAAGCACCATAATAGTTTAATGAAGTTTCTGTAAACAATCAAGTTACTAATTTAGCTAAGAGACAATATTATAGACTATTTAAAATAATCCTAAGTGATACTTCCCTTTAGAGCAATTATTCAACCTTAAACTTTATTTTGGCCAGAGGCTATTCAATTCAGGGGTAAATTATAAAAATATTTCTTGAAAAAGTATTCATTTCTCTCTGTTAAGACTAATATTCCACTCAGAAAAAGAAAGTAGCAATGTATCTGCAAGAAGTACATCCTACGGGACATTTCTCCTACAATATTCCCATGGTGAAGTGTATGGGAAATAGGTACTTACTCTCTGAAGTTTCACAGGATGTTAATAGCCCAAGAAACACCCTAGAGAAAACCTGGTGGATTCCAGATAAAATATCAATTGCTACAATTGGTTTGGTTGGTTGCAGCGTATATCTTACATAAGAACCAGGGCATCACCCTCCCTTACAAACAGGGACAACTTGACTCTAAGTGACTTATACTCCAGTTGCTAGGTTAGACCAGTGTTTCTCTCAGTGGGATTTTCAAATTCCTGGCTTATCAGGTCAGTTCATTTAGAAGATCCTATACACTTGGTCTTATAAAGGAAAGCTAAAAATGAGTATTTATATTCACTTATTTCTCACAGAGAGATGTGACTTTAAAATCATGAAGAAAAGGGCCAGCCAGATAGCTCAGTGGATTAAACCACCTGCATAGACAGATGCAGGGGCTAGAAGTTCGATCCCTGGCCTGCCTTGTTGGCCTTGCCCCTAGTGTGTGCCAAGATTTAGACTGGGCCTGGTGGTATGCACCTGTAATCCCAGTGCTTGGGAGACTGAAAAACAGGAAGGATCATTACAAGTCTAATCTGTGTAGTAAGACTCTGCAGAACCTGTACTAAATACTTCATCACTTTAATCACTTCATGATTAAAATGGCAGCCTCTTGCAAGATTTTGAGTATTTAAAATTTGGTTGGCATAAGGATTGAATTTACTGCAAGGCAGACACACTAGTCAGTTATTGGCAAATATAGTTGGGCTTTTGGAAGATCAGAAGTTGGAATAATAGATTTATCACCTAGAGGTATATAATATTTTCAGTTAACATTCACAACTTAAGACTT